TAACAAGCGATAGAACAAGGGGAGATGGCCTGAAGCTGCACCGGGGGCAGTTCAGGCTGGATATTAGGAAGAATTTCTTGACTGAAAGGGTTGTCAGGCATTGGAACAGCCTGCCCAGGGAGGTGGTGGAGTCACCATCCCTGGAGGTGTTTTAGAGACAGGTAGATGTACTTGGGAACAAGGTTTTGTGGTGTTGGTAGAGCTAGGACAAAGGTTGGACTCCATGATCTTGAAGGTCTCTTCCAGCTGAAACTGTTCTATGATTCTATGATTTGTGCCTTCTGTTGCTTTGAATCCTTTTCAGTTAGTTTTGCTGGTTCAGCCATGTACTCTTTCATGGGCCTGGAATATAAAAATAGCATCTTTTGGATAAAATCCAACAAACGGGGCGGTTGTGTTTGGCTTTTTTTGGTGTGGGTTTTTGTTTTGGTTTGGTTTTTCAGCAGTAGCCATTCAGTACTTTTGTCTAAATATGTGACATGATTTCAATTCCTCTCCTTTATTCCTTGCAGGAATATGAGCAAGGTATTTTTGTTGCACCCCTCTTTACACTGGAGGGAAGAAAGAAGGAAGAAAGAGAGAGAGAGAGAGAGTGAAAATGAATGCTTCTATCACAGGGAAAGTTTTAATCCACGTTTGTGCAATTTGTTGGGATTCTCTGATATTCTGTAATTGACAGGTCCCCAGGAAAGCAGAACTAATTTTTTACCTTAGTTGTGGCTTTTCAGTGCATGACAAGACATCTGATTGCCACCTTCCTCTTGTCCCTTTGTAGCCTCAAGATTTGGAGCAGTCCCTACTAGACAAGTTGATAATGACACCAGAAATCCCTCCAGATGCTGTTCAGGACAGAAGCCTTTGCAGTTTACCACCACTGGTGAGAAGGTGCATGGTGGGAGTCTTTGTGGAATTCATAGTCTCTCCGAGCCAGTTCTACATCCATGTCTGCAGCAGGGAAACGTCTGATAAACTGCAGGATATGATGATTGAGATGAGGTGCGAATATGCTATGCTGATTCAGTACTACTACCTGGTATGTGTGTGTTTGTGCTGATGGAGCAGGGCACCCAGCCATTAATTGTGGTCACTGCTGGCTTGGTTACTTGATACAGAGATGCTGGTGCTGTACTGAAACGTGCTCATAATGCTTACCCATTCTTTCTAACTAGCAAGCAAAAAATTATGGTTAATAGCAGTTCACAGTTGTTTGGCTGTGTCCTAGACAGTCCTAAACTTTAAAAGCCTGGAAAGGTTATGGAAAGGAACTTCAGGGTTCCTTTGCACCTCCCTGTTGGCTGTGCTGCTGTTGCTAACGTGCTTGGTTAAGATTTTTGCTTCCATCTCCAACGCTTAGCAAAAAGCAACAGGTAGTAGGCCTTTGTCATATCTATATTTGAAAGCAAAACCCTATCAGCAGCTTTGTGTCAGTTACATTATGCATTTGGGATTCTGTTCCGGCACGACAGTGCTACAATTGCTGTTAATCGTGTGCCAAAGTAAATGCTTGATGTCCGTGGGGCACATGTAATGTGTGATTACAGGCTCTGCAGACAGATGCCGTGTATGTGAGCCACTACTCCAGAACCCAGTTCTTAAGAAGCACTGACATGTCTAGAATGACTAGAATGACTGTATTTGGCCTCTGATTAATCCCCATTAATTAACTTTTTGTTGGACCCCAAGAATATTATGCAAATGTTAAAAGTTTGAGTTTGCATTTTCTATTGTCATTTCAGTTTAAGTGTGGCAGAACAGAGATGTAAATGATCTGTTAAAACAACTCCTGAAAATTCATGTCGTGGGGACTTTGAGAAATCAGGACTGAAGCCCTTTATATTTGTCTTTCTTACTCCTGCATCCTACCAAGCACGGTTTCTCATTATGCTCTTTTGCAGACGGTGTTACTCACATAAACTGGTTTCTGATCGTTACATCATGCCTGAGTCTTCAGTACGGCCTGGACAGCTTTGCTGTGTAATGGTCTCAAAATGGTGGTACCGTGTTATCATCCACCGTGTGATCAATGACCAAGAAGTGGAGGTGTTCTGTGCAGATTATGGAAACCTCGAAATTGTTCAGAAGTCTTGTCTGAGATTCCTCAAGTAAGTAAATTACACATGGGTGACAGAATTGCAGAATGGGTGAGGTTGGAAGAGATCTCTGGAGGTAATCCTGTCCAACCTCCCTGCTCAAGCAGGGCCATCTAGAGCAGGCTGCCCAGGACCATGTTGAGACAGTTTTTGATTGTCTCCAAGATGGAGCCTCCACGACCTCTCTGGGCAACCTGTTCCAGTGCTTCATCACCCTCATGGCAAAGATGCGGCTTTCCACCTGGTCGGCCCCTCGTGCATGGTGTTGCTCTTCCCCAAGTGCAGGACTTTGTTGAACTTCGTGAGGTTCCTGTTAGCCCATTTCTCTATACACAGGGTCCCTCTGAAAGGCAATGTGACCTGCTGGTGTGTCAGCCACTCCTCCCAGTTTTGTATCATCAGCAGACTTGCTGAGGGTGGACTGTCCTCCATCATCCAGATCATTAATGAAGACATTGAACAGTATTGGACCTATTGTTGACCCCTGGGGCACACCTCTAGTTCCTGGCCTCCAACTAGACTTTGTACCCTGATCACCACTCTGGGCCTGGCCCTTCAGCCAGTTCTCAATCTACCTCACTGTCTGCTGATCCAGCCCATACTTCACTAGATTCTCTATGAGGATCTTGCAGGACACAGTGTCAAAAGCCTGACAGAAGTCAACGGAAATGATACCCAGTGCTCTCCCCTGACCTAGGCCAGTCATTTCATTGCAGAAGGTTGTCAGGTTGGTTAAGCATGACTTCCCCTTGGTGAATCTGTGCTGGCTACTCACCCTCTTGTCCTTCATGTGCCCGGAAATGGTTCCCAAGATGAGTTGCTCCACCACCTTCCCAGGGACCAAGGTGAGGCTGACTGGTCTGTCCTTCTTCTGAAAGACATCCCAGCATGCAGATTTCCCAGAAAGGATCTGGGGTTTTATTCCAGGATGGTGCCTTGCAGGCATTTCCTTGCTTACATGCTAATGCTTGAGGCGACTTTAAGACCTGTTTTGCTGATCATTCCGGGCCCTTTGCTCATCAGCCCGGTCCATCACTCCCTCACAGTGACTTCAGGCTAAATCCTTTCCTGTTTCTGCCTTCTGTCCTTAGTCTTTTCTCTTGCTGCTTTCTGTTACTTTGGGGCAAGCTCCCTAATCATCCTGAATGAACATCAGTCCAAGTGGGAGGTATTTGCAGTGTCAGAGGTACCTGTTTTCCTCTGCAATTCAGTACCTTTTCCATATTTTCTTCTTCCCTTCCATTTGCCTCTATTCACACTTGGCCATTGGCATTCTTTGGTTCAAAAGTCATTGCTCTATCCATAACTTTGTAATCATAAGGCATTATGATGGGAAGATGCTTGGGCAAAGGAAGGCGTAAGGGATCAATTGCTATTCCTGTTTCTGCTGTGCCCGTTCTCTGGATGTGGAGTGTTTTCCAAAGCTGCTGTTGGGTTTTATTCATAAGTGCAAAACCCAACACTTGCCTCCCTACTCCTAAGCTGATTTTAAAACACAGGAGAGGAGGAAGTTCTGCTCTTCTGCCTAATTTTTGCTCTGGTTTTGCTGTAATCGTGATGCCTTTGGTTTGTATTGTAGGTGGTGCTACTTGAAGCTCCCTGCTCAGGCCATCCCGTGTTCCTTGGCATGGGTAAAACCCGTGGAGGTATGTGTTCATACGCAGTTTTGTTTATTGACATAGGTATGAGAGCTATCAAGTAGAGATTGGCTTTTTCTCCTGATAAGGGCAAACATTTGGATTAATTCAGGTCCCGTGATGTTTACAGCAGAACTGCTTTTATGTTCAGCAGCGTACGACTGTGTAAGTCTCTGTCTCTGCAAGTTATCACCCTTCTATTGTCTGTTTTCCTTATGATCAGAGTATTCCTGCTTGTGTTGTCACAGAAACAGAAAGCTACTGTTAAGCAAATGAACAAACTTGCTTCTTCCCCTGCACGTAGTTCTCCAGGGTCACTCTGAAGCCTTGGTAGCTCCAGCCCTCTTGTTTTAAAAATTTCTTCTGTGACAAAGCTTTAAGTGAGTTGGTTTGATGCAATCAGCATAGCCAAAGAATTATAGGTGTCATAAGAAAGTCCTCTGTGCTGGGAAACCTCCTGGTCAAGAAGCCTGAGAAACACAATCTGAAGGAAAGCATGTGAGCATAGTTACTTCTTCTACATTCTTTTAGGAAAGTTATTTCCTCTGGTTTTTAAGGGTTAAAGTGTTGCAGTTTTTATTGCGATGAGGCTTAGCAGCTTCTTAAAACATTCTGACACTTGTAACGTTTATAATCACATGATTCCAGGACTTAAAAAAAAAAACAAACCAACCAAACACCAACGTGTTTTAGGCATTATGGTAAAATCACTAGTGAATGCCATTGAATGATGTTTGGAAATAGGTATTTGGGGTGTAAAGGGCATGCCCAGTGTAACTAGCATTGCAGGCTTTGGGATAGTTTGATTTAGTTCAGTGTTGGGAAGCTTGTCTGCCTGACTTTCCTGTGTTTGTCCCTAGCCTCATCTAGCTTAATTGCCTTTTTGACAAGTGCCCACAAGGGAAAGTGTCAGGCAGTGGATGTTTATAGTAACTTTACATTCTTGTTTCTTCTTCAGGGTACGTGGTCCAATGCGGCAACTCTCCTCTTCAGGAAGCTGTGTGGCTCCAACCTACTAGTGGGCCTCGTGGATGAGTATGTGAATGGCATTTTGCATCTCTTCTTGTGTGACACATCCACCAAGGAGGACGTCTACTTCCACTGTGTCTTGAGGGATGAGGGATATGCTGATGACTGCAAAGAGAATGTCCCTTCCCAGGTCAGGAGGGAGGTGTGCGCTGCCGAGAGGAAGGGCAGGGAAAGGATTGTTTGGGTGGCTGTAATGGGAAGGTATTTAGCTCGAAGCAAGTAGTTTTGTGAAGAGCAGAACTGGCATTCCCTGCTTTCCTGTAACTTGCCGTTTTGTGACTGCATCCCATGGTGTCTAACTCTGCAGTGAGAGCTTTCTTTTTGGTTAAGGTGGAACCCTATGATACAGCAGTGAGATTCTGGTTTAGGAGAACAAATTCTTTTTATCCTGTCTTCTAATAGTGAATGAGAAGATTTTGATTTTTTTTTTAAGTTGATTATCTCTAGAATTGCAGCTTCATCCAAAGCTGTTGCACACCTTGTATAAATAATACAATTACTGCAAGAATTTGGAGCTAGCTTGTGGGTGGCGTGCTTCTTCATAAAACTTATTAGAAATTTGCTGAATCCTTTTTGTTCTTTGTGGTAGTTACAACATGGTTTTCTTGACTGAGGTTTCTTTATTTGTTCCTAGGGATTCATGGAACTGAATCCTTTGGCCTTGTACGTTCAGCCCAGTGGACAGCAGGAGAATGCTGAGCTGGTGGAGCCAGACCTTCACTTGCAACAGGAATCTCTAGATGCAGATGGTGAAACAGCAGCCTCAAAGCTGGATGGGGATGAACTGTGTGACCAGGTTGGAGTTTGACTGTGGCGTAGCTGTCATCAATGAAATCAGCTCCAAGGGTCGGTAGACATGTAGTTTTAGTCCCATGCAGGTTTTTTGTAGAGCTGGCTTTTTGCTTTTATCAAAAGCAAGCAGACCCGTAATATAAAAACAGTTACACGTGGAGCATTAATACATCTCTAGCTGCTTGTCTTCTGATCCTGTTGCAGACTTCAGGGAGTCTGTGTGCTCAGTGATGTCCCTAACCTCCCATATGCACCATAATTTTTCAGTTAGAGAGAGAAGGGACTCTGAGAACTCGGACCAGTACCAGATTCTTGAGATCAGTTTGACTTAGCACTTTGTTTTGCACGTCCAGGAGCCAAGAAGTGATGTGTTTTCCTCCTGCATCTCTGGGGTTTTGCAAAGGATGTGTAATAACTCGGGGTCTCATTTAAATGTGAGAAAAGACCAGAAGAACTAGTGGTGTATTATTTGCATTAAGGGTCTTGCTCATTCTAAATGTGTCTGAAAGGAAGCGATTTGCAATCCTGGTTGTTGCAGGGGATAAGGTTGTAAATGGCTACAGTTTTAATAAAAAGATAACTCTAGAGTGAACGATATCCAGATCCAGGTGCTTTACACCTTTGATTTTAGAGCACATTGAAAAGAGGAGCCCTTTGCTATTTAACAGATAGAGAAACAGAGAACGGAGGGGTTAAGCAGGGAGTAAAACTCATGTCTTGAATGCAATCTAATGTAGTGCCATTAGAAACACCTGGAACACTTGTCTGCAGGTGACTCTACTTTTCTGTGTTACTTAAATTGTGGTATTTTCATGACACATTTTACTACAGGGGCCAAAGTGCCTTTCAAGTAAATGTCAGGTGTTGAAGTGTTTAGCAGCGGGCCTGCTCTCTGGGGCTGTTTTTCTGACAACTTGTAAAGCAGTCATTTTACCTAGGTTTTGTTTTAGCCAACTGTGTTTCTGTGCTAGAGGAACTATAAGCTGTGTATCGTGGACATTAATGGCCTTACACTGTTGGTATATCGTCTGAACTGAAGGGCACAAACCAGCACCTTAATATATGTATTTGGAAGAAATTAATGTGATGAAGACTGCAAATCTGAGCTTATTGTGATTTTTGGTTTGGTTTGGGTTTTTTTTAAAATGGAAAATTTGGAGAGTACCCTGACTGGTTAACTGTAGCAAGATCCATTTGTGTAAATGTCGGATGTAGCTGGTGACTTGGAGACTAGAGGAACACAAATGCATCCAGGTTTTGTCATGTCTGATTTCAAGGGTCGTCTTAGAATCCTTTTCCAGAGATTGCTGTCCTCTAGATCTCTCTTTGTGTAAGACTTTAAACATTTCCAACTCTGCTGTTCTGTTTAGCTGTCCAAAATGTTTTCTTCTCTTTCTTGGTGCATCACTGGCATGATCATCAATGGCAGTTATCAAAAGGCTTAAAATGTTTTGAACTGGAATGAAATGTGTCTAATATGACCCTTGTTTACTGCTTAGCTAGCATTTTCTGGTAATTCCTCTTAAGCAGCAGGGAACTCCCTTTGCATTGTCCAATCATAGATTTGCCTCGTCATGATTAATAACTGTTGTTTTTCTCCCACCCTCTTTAAGCACAAAATGGCTGGACACTGTGTTGCATCAGCTCTGCTACATTAGGACACTTCTCCATGGTAAAATTTCTCAGAAGGCAACAAGCAATAACCAGAAAACATTGCCTGAATAAAACTGTGCTTCCCAAGTGATAATTTCTCTCCTCCACAGTGGAACTTAGTGACAGTTTCTTATTCACAGTATTTCCTGTCTTTCATGTTCTTTCTCTCCTTTCGTAGTAGCCCAAGCTTCTCCAGGTAAGAATGTTAAAACTTCTGAGCGAAACAGAAAAGCTCCTTTGCATTTCTCTCTTAGTTAATCTCCAAATGCTATCATCTGTTTGCTCTGTAATTTGCTCCAGCGCATCCTGCTTTCTTCTGCCCATGCTAGCTGTACTTTTTCTTGCTTTGTACGTCTCCTTAGCAGTGGCACCTGTCTGCTAAGAAGGAGACACAGGATGATGTGCAGCCACTTTTGAATGACGTGAGTGTCCCAAGAACAACAGACCAAGACCCTGTACTGGCACAGGAGGATACAAATGAAACTCCTGCAGAGCTGATGGCAGTGGTTAAGGTAAGGGCATTTTTCTCAGCTATTGCTGTTGAGAGGAGTTGTTCTTGGGTTTAGATTATTTGAATAACCTTTAATCGCTTTGACATGTATTTTTCTTAAAAGCGACTGGCAAAGAAATAACAACTGGCTGTTAGCATGGGCTCAGAGCTATGCGTTTTCCTCTTTGCTGTTGTTTCTGGTGTTACTGGTGATCCACTAGTGCTCCACTGGCATGTCAAGAGTATTGTGGAAACAAGACTGTTTCAGCTCTTTATAGAGCTTCTTCATTCCTATGCTTACCCTTCATTCACAGTCCTGAGAGTTACTGTGAGGAACTGGGAGTTACTGTGGGAGGGTCCCATTTTAGGCTGTGCTTTGAGGCATTGTGTAGTGCTGGTGGTGTAACTTTGCTTCTTAAATAGTGGTTAATGATGAGTCTGACAGCCTGCAGCGTGGCATTTTGCAAACACTCTGCTCTGGGTGCAGCAGGGAGCCCCTATCACTCGGGGTTTGCTGAGCCACAGGAGGCATTGCAGAGCTGGAAATGGGAGTGTGCCTACAAGGTTTTGGATACCCACAGGACCTTACAAATCTGAAGGTTGATAATGGCTGAGACAAAGCACTTTCTAGAAGGATGAAGGGGAAAGCTGGTTCTTGAGTAGTCTAGAGCAGAGCTGGAAGAATTGGTGGCTCTGGGAGATGTTACCTGAAAGGAATGGAGAGAAAGCAAGCTGGAAAGAGAGGGCTTGAGAGAATGAGAGATGAGGAAAACTTCTTGTAGCAAGTGTGGGGAGAAAGTACGATGAGATGAGATGGCAACAGGTGGGTAGATAGCAATAGGGTCCCTGTGAGCTGACTTAAATGCTCCCCTGTAAGTATTAAACTCTGTGAGTTTCGAAGTGTAGGAATTTCCTAACTGGATCAAAGAAGTCCTGGGCTGTGATGTCTGTTGCAGTGTTCAGAGGAAGTGACAACAATTTCCACTAAGGAAGACAGTGGGATGAAAAAATACTCCTGCCTGTAGACATTAAGGGGGGAAAAATGCACTAGTCAGCTAGTTATGAGGACAGACAGGAGGATTTTCTGTCTCTGATTCCTGCTCATCTCTTGGCCTCAGGGGTTTGTGGTATTTGCAGCATCACCAAGTGGTATTCCCTCTTTTCCAGTTTTCACTGCTCATGTCTTCTGTTTCAACCGTGGTGTTCGTAATTGTGTGAATCGGGAGGAAGAGTAGATACTGCCTTACTTCCTGCCCCTCACAGCACTCTCTAGGGTATGCTGTCTCGGTTGCCTCCTCTGGTAAACTGAAGTCTCTCTTTTTCTTTTTCTTTTTTAATTATTTCCATCCCAGCTTTTTGTAGTGCTAACAGACATTCTTTGTGCCCACCTTGCATCCTGTCTGTTTCTGCTTTGCCTTGGAGTGGCAGTGGTGCTGCCTGCCCCCCAGCAAGGATGGCATGGCTGGCAAGAGGAGATAATAATAATCTTTTAACCCTGGTGGGTTTTTTCCCCACTTGTCCTAAGACTCTGGTTTTTACTGCATGTTAGGCAGGAGTTTTCAGTGGACTGGTGGTATCAAGCTGAGTAGTTGGTTAATTGGATTCCAGTGATACCTGTCATTCAAATTATTCTTTTGTGGCATCCTGTCAGCACAGAATTTCTGCTGCCCAGCCATGTAGCTCTCCTTGCTGCTTCAGGAGTGCCTCATGGTCCCTGTGTGGAGGCCCGTTTAAATTGCTTGAATATGCTTGTGTAAGAACAATTGTTTTATTCTGGGCTAATCCTCTGAACACACTCTCACCGAAGGGTGAAGCACCTTTGCATGGTAATTCACCCCTTCTGAAGATGGATGCCTTTCTTGTGCTGCCTGGACAACAGAAGAAGCCTAGAGAGCAAGCACCTGATTTTTTAACACCTATGGTTGGGCAAGGTGAAGTGCTGCTTATCTGTCATTTCACTGTTTTTCTCCTCCATGCTGATTTAACAAATACAAACATTAGCTCAAGTCGCTGCCTATGGCTGAGAAACAGGTGCTCGTCCCTGAAACTTAAATTTAATTTGTATTCTTAAGCAAAAATGCAGAGGGACTTCCTCTGACTCAGTTCCCACTCCCTTGCAGAAACTCCCTCTGTCATTGCCATCATTTGCTCTGCGTGGGGGGCTGCTGAGAGATGAGCCAGCTGTTAATTCTTTGCTAAGACGTGGTGATTTGTATCCTGTAATAATCTGTCACTCTTTTCAGCTTGCTGTGCAGGAGAAGGTGCCCTTTGGCCAAGGTTGTGAATAACTGGTATTTTTTTTAAATCATCCAATTGCTGACATTCCAGTTCTTTGTGGACTATGGGAGATAATAAAGATCAGGGCAGCTAATGAACCCAGTGTGTACTAATCACACACTCTCCTGAGGATTTTTATATATATTTGCAGACACCTCATTCTCTTGGAGAGTCCTCAGTGCCTGCTGTCTCATTCAAGTCAGTGGAAGACTTTCACACCTCTTTTACCTACTCCGAGCAACGAGCAGAAATGAGCCAAGATGACCCTGATCAGATAGAGGGATTTTCCAACAAGGCCCAACTTCGTGAAGCTATACATCCCTCCGTTCTGCTTATGGCAATGCCGTTTGTGCTGCACAACCGTAACAGTACGAATAGATTTGTCAGTAGAAGTTAACACGGCAGAAAGCTGAGCAGCCTGTTACTGTGCTATGAGTCTTGCAGTCACCATTAGGTATCCTAGGGCTGGTGCTGCTGCTTTGCTAGAACAGATGGAAATGTTGGTGTTTCTGTGGGCTGGAGATGTGACAATAGTAAATGGCTGGATGCAATGGATTGATTTGACCTGTGTGCAGCAAAATGGATTTCTAAATGTTTAATGGGAACAAATGGGTTGAGATTTATTTCTCTCTGTTGATTTTTGTTGTCTTTTCCAGACTTTCTGCTGCTTTCACGCAGAAGTCTTTTGTTTCTCTGCTCTATACGTTGGCCTGTGTTCACTTCATACTAGGAGTCTCTCAGTCTCCCAACCGTAAGGGACAAAAGCATTTTTTTAACCTTGTAAGGTCCCTTTGTGGGTCTTCATCTTCCATCTTCCAAATGATGAAAGGATTCACAACACCCATATGAGAGTTGCCTAGTTTACGAGGTGAATTTACTTGCCAAAGGCAGTGCCTGTTTGTTCCTTGGAACAGAGTTGTCTGCTCTCTGTCTGGAGTGGAGGCCCAGTTCTCCAGACGGGAGCTACTCAATTCACATCTGATTTCCCACTTCTGCGGAAACTGGGGTGAGCACTGGGAGGAGAGGGAGGGAGGCTCTTGGATTATACCATGTCAGACTCATCAAATAGGTGTGCAGTAGAAAGTCCACTTGCTATGACTTGGTAAGGTCCAGGCAAAAGGGATTTCAGTCTAAACTGGAGCTCTTGGAGTTGCCAACATAGATAACAACTTTCTTTTCTGTGTCTCTCCTTAAGCAGATGGAGAGGAAATGAAGAACAAAGATCTTCCTGGGAGTCCTGTGGTTGGCCTGTGGAGTGCCAGTGGGCTGTCTGACCAAGGGCCATCTCGGAAACCGTATGTCCCTCCTGCCACCCTCTCTGCCGTGTTGGCAGCTGCACACTTGGCCACTTCCAGCGGCTACTTCCAGTGGCTCCCCAGCCTGAGAAAGAAGGTTTGAGAAGAGGGGAGAAGCTGGAGCGGCTGCTGAGGAAGGTTGCCGAGAGCAGCAAAAGCCCTCTGTATGTGCTGCCATTTTTCTTTGTTCAGAAACATTTAATCCCTTGAAAAAGCTGGAGTCTAACATCTCAGATGTGCCCAGTATGTGTGATAACTTTCAGGAAAATAGTTTGGTTTTGTACTGATGTTGTACTGATCTGTTGCTCTTTAATGTCATTACATTAAATGTAATGTTCAGCAGATGTTCAGGAGAACATCTAAGTGTCACATTGTGTTACGTATCCTTTAGGAGAGGGAAACTGGCTACCTATTCCTTCCATCCTTCAGTGCCTGAGCAGTTTTGACATTGCGTGGGGAGACGGTTTTGGTTTCTAACACCATGAATGCTCTGCACACTCCTTGCTGTTAGGAGCAGTGGTTGTATCCCGGCTCAGGCCCCAGTCTGTGGAAGTGCTGGTAACTTCCAAAAAGAAACCTCCTTCCGCCAGAAGAAGATGCTCTGATTTGTTGGTGTATTAGGATGCCACACATAGGAAACGTCAGGAATCCCGTGCTACGGATACCGAATGAGATCTATAAAGAATCCAGTGAGAAAAAGCTTGAAGCTTGTCATTGGCCATATTTATGTAGCTCCTTGCCTGCGGCAAGAAATCCTCTTGGGCTTGAGTTTATTAATGCAGAGAAGAGCTGTGAAAATACAAGTGCCCTGGTTATGAATGCTGGCATTCAGCTGGTTTGCTGTTACCTAGACTGTTCCTCAGGTCTTCAGGGCCTTCAAGGGCCACTCTGTGCCCACCTGTAACCATGTCAGAGGTATGCTTCACTGCAAACCACTAAGAAAAGCTCAAGGTAGGGTTTAACATTAATATTGGAATGGATAAAAGTCCAGTCTAAGGAGTTTATTGGTCAGACTAGATGATCTTTAAAATTGTGTTCTGACCCAAACCATTCTATGATTCTATGACTATTTTAATTTTAGCATTTAGGGGTGGTTTTTGGATGTGAAAGGGCTGAAAAATGTAGGGAGAGAAAGAAAATCTGACGCTCATTAGGAAATGACCACACAGAAAGCTAATGAAGGAGACAGAAGCGGAGAGGTGAGGAGCTATGACTTGACGAGGGGCTGTACAACCCTGCCAGGACCTTACCTGACTTCTCTGGTCCCGTGTTGAGGCCAGGGGGTTGAACTGCACGGGTGTGCCATCCAGCGTAGGGAGCGACTGAAACAGAGCTGCCGTTGCTCGGGGCGGTCTGGGCAATGGGGTGCTTGTCTGCAACGCCACCCTCTCTGCTGCAGGAGTCCCTTTTGGTTTCAGGGATGTGAGGGCTGGGGTGGGGTGTCCCGAGGAGACCCTCACGTCCTCCCCTGCCTGTCCCCGGGCCGTAGCGGGGGCCGGCGGGCTGGAGGAGCTGTCACCCTGTCCCCGCTGCTGCCAGGTCGCTGCTAGGTGGCGGCCAAGGCCAGCTCTTGGCGGCTGGGCTCCCTTCAGCCTAAAACTTCTCTGGGGGTCTGGGAGGGCGAAGGGGGTTTGGAGCTGAAGAAGACCCTGCTGGGTGGGCAGCGTCCCCATGCCTTGCTGGGGCTGCACCTGTCCCCCCTCCCTGCCTGGGGCACGGTGGGTGCTGCGGCTGCCTGGGGGTGTAAATGGGAAATGGGTCTCACTGCTGCTTGGCATGGGCTGTCCCAGGAAATTGAGGATGGGGAGATGCTGTGGGTGTTTGGATGGGGACGGGGGGGGGCACTGGGAGCTTACATGCGTGCAGAAAGGGAGCAGGCACGTGCGTGGGAGGGAGCAAGTGTTAAGCTGCACCCAGGCATCCCCTGTGACTTGGGAGCTCTGTAATCTGCCAGGTTTTGGAGGGAGGGAGCGTATTCTGGGCTATTACTGCTGCACGTCACCCTTCTTGCACGTTCTGCCTGGGTACCTGTCGGAGGCAGGGTACAGGGCTTTGCTGTGAGTACCTTTTCTGATGTTTAACTGGTCAGGATGGGGTTTTTTTCCCTGTGAGTTTTTGCCATTCACATGTTGTCTGCAAGTGCTTGGTTAGTTTTCCATATTCCTTTCAATCAAGAGAAAAGGTGTGTGAAGACCTGAGCCTTAACCCTGAGCCTGGACCCACCCCAACACCTGAGGGACCAAAAACCCACCTGGAGCCACTCCCCTGCTCCAGGGTGACCTGGGCTCATCTCCCCAGCTGTGCCGTGGCATCTCCCTTCCCAGAGCAGCTCAGGTCACATCTCTCATGCCTGGCGGGTCCCTGTTTGTAGATTTGTTGCTTAAGGCAGTGAAAAAACAGAAAGACGCCTCGGGGACTGGAAAGTGATGCTGTATTCATGTCCCTGCTCCAGGGCATCGCTGTGCCGGTACCAGGCGGCGGGGAAGGAGAGGTGGCTGTGCCAGGTGGCGGGGTAAACCTGAGCGAGCTGTGACCCAGCCCCACAGGGGGGTCTGACGAAAAGGAGGAAGGTGTTCTGCCCTGTGACAACCCTGTCTCTGCAGGTGTCAGGTCCCAGGAGGGGCCAGGAGTGTCCCCGTTCTCCTTGAGGAGCATCTCTATGGGTTGTGGGGGGCCCTTTCACTGGGGCACCTGGTGGGTGGCCCTCATCCTGGGGTGTGCGTGCAAAGGGGTCCCACTACTCCAACAGAGAGCAGCTCGGGGTGGAGCTGCTTTTCTCTCCTTTGCCCCTAGTTTTCACTCTCCCCACAGGTATGGGGCAGCTGTGCTGCCGGCGGAGGTTATCGACTGGCGGTCCCCGGGAGAGAGGACCAACATGTTTAGAGCAAATTAAAAATTGAAAGGCGGCGCAGCTCTGCAGCTCTCCCTAAAAGCCGGGGTTAAGCAAAACGCCAGCGAGGTGTGTGCTCGGGGGACTCGCTAATGGACTTGGGTGACGTGTGGGGTCTGGGGTCAGCGCTGCCAGGTGGGTGGAGCTGGGGCGGGTGGCTCTCCTCCCTGCTGGCATGGCGGGAAGCAGGTGCTGGAATTTTGGTGGTGGAATCAGGGGAGTCCCCTTGGCTGGGGCTTCGCTTTTTTTTCTTTTTTTTTAAAAAGGGTAAGGTAAAGTGTATCCATAGACCCTGGCAGGGCTTAGGAGCACATGGATAAAGCTCCACATTGCTTTTTCTTAGTGGAGCTGGACCTGGACTAGCTCAAGGAGGACCCCGGTGCCCCCCAGCATGCCCAGGGTGTGGGTGGGGCTGGGAAGGGCGAGGAGTGATGCTCTGGGCAGGGATATTGTTTCGGGGGGGTTATGGAAGAGTTTCTGTATCCATAGACCCTGGCAGGGCTTAGGAGCACATGGATAAAGCTCCACATTGCTTTTTCTTAGTGGAGCTGGACCTGGACTAGCTCAAGGAGGACCCCGGTGCCCCCCAGCATGCCCAGGGTGTGGGTGGGGCTGGGAAGGGCGAGGAGTGATGCTCTGGGCAGGGATATTGTTTCGGGGGGGTTATGGAAGAGTTTCTGGTGGTGTCTGTGAGCAGCTGCCTGGCCGTGGTGGTAATCGGGTTCTTTGAGTTCTAAACGGGCTGTCAGGAAGCGTTTGGCTGGCGGGGAGGAGGCTGGAAAGTGACAGCTCGCTTCAGATGAACCAAGTGCTGCGGAGGCAGCCGAACGCCGCCCTCTCGGTGCCCCCATGCGCGGCCGGGCTCGGCAGGAGCTGAGGTTGGGGTACCCGAGCTGTGTGCCGGGGACACGGGGGGTCCCAGGCTGGCACACAAGGTGGCTGCTGTTGTGGTGGCTGGTGCTATCTCAGCGCGGTCGAAATTTTCCAGATCGATCCATTAGCCCATCCCCTCCCCACCCCTCTGCGTTTTTGGGTCAACCCATGCTTTGCAAAGTGGGGTTCGATTCAGCAAGTCCTTTGGGCTTAAAAACCAAAATCAAGTGCTTCTGACCTCAAAAACATTTGTCTTTTTATTTTTAGATGTTTTTTGGTGGCTGGTGCTATCTCAGCGCGGTCGAAATTTTCCAGATCGATCCATTAGCCCATCCCCTCCCCACCCCTCTGCGTTTTTGGGTCAACCCATGCTTTGCAAAGTGGGGTTCGATTCAGCAAGTCCTTTGGGCTTAAAAACCAAAATCAAGTGCTTCTGACCTCAAAAACATTTGTCTTTTTATTTTTAGATGTTTTTTTCAGATGGAAATTGAATCTTTTCCTGGTTTGGGGAGGATAAGAGTGCACTCAACCCTGCATCAGATTGTTTCACTTGACCCACAAGTAAATGCTTTTCTTTCCTCTGACCTGGAAGGATTTCTTTTCCTTTCCATTTGGCAAGAAAAAGGAAAAAGCCAGTTCTCAGTACAGGTCACTGCAAAACAAGGTCTGGATCTGGAGCTAGCTTTTCAGCCTGAGCACTGTGCCAAAACCCATCAGCTCTTCCCACTGGTCCCTGGAGTGGCTCCCTTTTTCTTGCAGTAGAAAGCCCCACTTTTCAGTGCATTTTGCTGGGAGCAAATGGCTGCCAGGCGGGAGAGCAGCCTCTGGCCGCTGAGTTTCGGATGAGCAGAGATGGGCATAGTGCTTGTGCCGTGCTGGCTTTCGGAGGGTGACTTAGCAGCCACCCCCAGCACAGTTCATGCAAGCTTAACCACCACTCTCTGCAAAAGCTTGTTTGGGTGGGTTTGGGGGAGATGCTGAGATATTCCTGCTTGCAGGAAGGAGCATGAAGGAGACCTAGGGCAGCAGGACTGCTGGAACATCCCTCGGGCAGGAAACGTGGTCAGCACTGCCTTTCAGCTGAACCAGGGCTGTGCTCTGGGGCGGGTGGGGCTTGGTGCCAGCTGCAAGGGTCTCTGTGCACCCTGTCCTGCAGAAATAGGGGCTGCGGGTGTCCTGCTGAGCACCGCTTGCATCCAACTGAGTCCTCCCATCTCCTCTCCCCTCTCCATCTTGGACCCAGCTCCTTGGGTGTTGTTTCCCGTATCAGTGGCACCGCTCCAAGCACAGCACCCGAAGGAGAGGGGGAAGGGGGGGTCCTTGCAGGTGCTGTGTGATGC